AACCGGCCACAGCGCCGGGAGGAGGGCGGCGAGCCCGCCACGGCTCCGCTCTCCCCGGCAGCCGGAGCACCGGGAGGAGGGCAGCGAGCCCAGCCATGGCCCCGCTCTCCCCGACCGGCCAGAGCACTGGGAGGAGGGCGGCGAGCCCAGCCGCGGCCCCGCTCTCCCCGACCGGCCGGAGCGCCGGGGGAGGGCGGCCCCGCTCTCCCGCGACCGGCCAGAGCTCCGGGAGGATGGCGGACACGCCCGGCCGGGGCCCCGCTCTCCCCGACCAGCCGGAGCACCGGGAGGAGGGCGGCGAGTCCAGCCGCGGCCCCGCTCTCCCCGAGTGCCGCCCCCCTCCAGGTGCCGCCCCAGGCATATGCTTGGTAGACTGGTGCCTGGAGCCGGCCCTGGGAGTAAGGAGATTTTCCCATGACTTCATCACAGGGCTTGGTGAAGTTTAATGCATAACCACCAATGTTGAGTACAGTGGGGTTTCTGTGTCTGGTAAGGTCACCAGCTGTCCCGATCTTATAGGGGCAGTCCCGATTTTTGGGTCTTTTTCTTATATAGGCTCCTATTATCTCCCATCCCCTCTCCCGATTTTTCACATTTGCTGTCTGGTCACCCTAGTGTCTGGTTATTGCTGAAAACCGGGACTGTACCCATTTTTCTGTTCCTGGTCTGGTATCGCTGGGGTTTTGCAAAACCCAGTGTTGTGTCTTGTGTTTTTAAACCCCTCCAGATTTGTCAATTCAAGGAGCCACTTGACTGAGCTTGTAAAATTGGCAGCAGGCTGTCTAACTGCATGAGAACTACAGGTCCTCCACCATCAAGCCTGTCACATATTGACACATTGCCTTCTAGCACTCCCTTTCCAAGTCTCCCTAAGAAGTCTACCCATGCCCAAATGGTGGACTGTGAGTCAACTGCAGATCCTAATGTGTGTTCAAAGGAAACTCCAACCTTTTCATCCCTGTGGGCAGGCTAATGGATCTTGCAGCACTTGTGATGCTTCAAACAAAAAAAAAATGGCAGCATTTAGCAAGGTTCAGCATATTGCTGAAAGACAGGCTGCCAGTTGGAATTGGCAAAAATAACACACTGGGCTTGGGTTTCTGTTGCTCCATTCCTGTGTTTGGAGCATGAATTGGGGATCAGGCAAAGGTGGCTTTAAACTACCTTTGTGTTTCTCATATTCTGAAACTGTTGAGGGCCCTGGTGGGCTCTGGCATAAGAGAAGCAGCAGGACTGTTCTCATGTAAGCTCTGGTTAAAAAAAAAAAAAAAAAAAAGTCCCTTTAGGAGTTATCCATCAGCCCTGGAGAGTAAGAATGCAATGTGCTCCAGTCACCAGTATTTCCTCTATTTGCTGCACCTGGTATCTCCCTGCACCAGGGACTGGGGATGCAGAGGAAAGTATATGGTCATTGCAGCAGCTCTCTGCTGGCTGGGGAACACCCACATGGGGAGTGTTACCCAGGGGATGTTTTCACCTGCTCCCCCAAAGTACCAGGGTGCAGCAAAGAACTGGCCCCAAGGAGTGCACTCCATCCTCAGCTCTGTGGTTCAGCAGTACACTGCCTCTTTGCAACAATAGTAAATAGAGTGATAATAAGAGATCTGGGGTTAGCAGCACTCTGTATGCTATTGTGGCTGAGAGACCTGGGACAATGTGCTGCTTCAGCACGGGGATCCTGGAGGAACTGAGCAGAAATAGCCAGGTAGAAAGGTGCAGCACTTCAACAGACCTGCTCCCATGCACAATTGTGCATTCTGCACCTTAGAGACAGCAACAGGCAAGAAAAACGGTGAGGCATCATTGGGGATAGTCATGGGGAGAAAGAAGGAAGCAAGCAAGCTGGGGGATCCTAGAAGAGTTGCTCCAAAGAGCAGAGATGACAGCAGCTGGCATCATGCGGAGCCCAGGCGCAACATTTGCTGCCCCAAAAGTAGCACCAGTGCACCACGAGTACCAAGGTGTGATTGGAGCTGATGCTCATGTGACAGGCCTAGTGGTGGGTAAAGGTAAAGAATTGATAAGATCACTGCCTTGAAGAGAAGTGTCTGGTACCAGGGGGTAGGGCTGAGATTATGTTCTGCATTTATTTAACATCTTCTTCTAAAGTAACCGTGTAGCACATAAGCATGTCTAATATAAAATAGTTGTGCATGAGAAGAGCCTTGAAGCTAACAACCAGACTCTGAATTAGGTGTATTTGTCAGCACCCTCATACACATTCCTATTAGTTTTCTCCTCCCTTGGCATATCAGTTCCACACGTTTTGCACAGTCGCTGAATCCCAAATCCGTACAAGTTACAGTACTTTACCCCGACACCCATCTTACTACCTATTTATACCACCATTTATGTCATCGTTGAATTTGGCTCCAAAGCTACCAAATGAGTTACAATAGCTTGCTGCATTTGGCTGAATGTGGCTCTGTTGTCCCGTGCATTGGGTTTGTAAGAAATATCTAAGACCTCTTATTAGTGAAAACAAAATGTGGCCACTAGGTGGTAGTATAAAAGTATATTAACTCCATTAAGGGTTTTTCGCTCAGTTTATTGGGAAGCGTTATTTTAGATTTTTATAATCATCAATGCCAATTTGCTTTTTCTTATGAAAGCTTTTGTTAAGACAGTCATACAGTAATCTCCATCTCACTCTTGCCATCTCAGCCCGCACATCTCTCCCTGTTGATAGATGGTGACACATGGAAGAGGTAACTGATCCTCTCACTTCCTCCATGCAATGGGTGGGGGGAGGGAATCTACCTTGGAGACCTCCTCTGCGCTCAAATCAACGGGGCCTGATCTGGATCTCAGTTTTTAACTTGGATCAAATTCCCATAGACTTCAACAGGAGTGAAAAATGAGTGAGAATTTCAGGATATTAATTGTATTATTTATTTATATAGTTCCAAATGTGTCTTACCAGAAGGTGCTTTGTTATTCCCACTCAGATAACAATACCTGATTTGTTATTTGAACTCTAAAGGCCAAATTTTGGCCTACATTTTTTTTTGTCAACATATATATATATACACTCTAACTTTTATCTACAGTGCTATTAAAAATCATTTGCTCACAGATGACATCTGTTTTATTTCCCCGTTGTTTTAGCTTTTATTTGAGAAGAATTTCCTGGGGAAATTGCTACTTTCACATCTCCAGTATGGATCACCATGTTTGGCACCAGTTGGTATCTCATTCATCACGTTCCCTTTCTTGCTCTTAGAAAAATCACAAGACCTAGCATACCATCAGAGGTAAAAAATTAACTCTCTGTGCACACAGTTTTGCAACTGTAACAGCACCAGAAGAACAAGGTTGCCAAAGAGACAGATGTATTCTTCCAGGGCATTTGTTTAAACAAGTGACAGGCATTCACAATTTGAACTCATTGGTATTTGTGGGCAGATGAAAACCAAACATAGGAGAAAAAGAGAAGAGATGATCAGAGAATATGAGCAGCTATAGAACATTAGCTACAGTATTTCTTTAGGGATGTTTTCTTTGACCATGCACAAAATCTGTGGTCAGGAACTTGCAGTTAAGATCACCGATGGCTTCTGAATATGACCTATATTTGGAGACTTTTGTTTGAGTTTACTTTATTAAGTTTCTGGATAATAAACCTTACACCCAGGAAGAAGCACACACATGGCCCTAGGCATATTGTGCTGTAGCAATACATTGAACTGACATACGATACATGTTAAAAGAAAAGCTGTTCAATCAAAATGTCACAAAATACATAATATGCCTTTTTGAAACAGAGCACTGTAATGATATAATCTTATGACTGCTAATGAGATTTGTAAGCCTTGTCTATTAATTCACATCTGTTTGATCTGAAACATCCATGCTATTGAAATCCTGGATTCCCATAGTCATATCTGTCAGTGCACCTCAATCCCAACCTGCAGCGTCTCCTGCTTCCACAGCGCTGCTAAATGTATTTCACTCTCC